GCTCCTTGTGGGTTGATCGATGATGACAAACACTCAAACCCTTCTCGGAGGGTTCAAAATAAAACTCACTCTCACTCTCACCCCACACCCCGAACATGCCTGATGATGACAGCCTAAGTAACTATCGAAATGCATCGTATGATCACTTGGTATCTACTTATATAGACTGACCCTCATCCGCCATGGCTCCACCAGAATGATTCCTGGTCTCGCGCGAATAGAATAACCATTCTTTTCATCAATTCAACGTGGTTTATTTGAAGGAAAAGAAAAAAACTAATCCATCGTTTTGAGTTTACTCGATTGAAAAACGTTGAACACGATTATTCCGTACATCGGCGACATAGATATTGCCATATCGATCGAAGGACAAACCTTCGAGATCGTTGAACTGATTTGCTCCTGCTCCTCGACCATTTCCACCCGCAATGACAGTGCCCTGTTTCGCTCCTTTAGGCCAACGCATCACTCGCTCATTCCCCATGTCTGCCACATAGATGGTACCCAACGTATCGACGAACAGACCTTGAGGAAGCGACAATTGTGTCGTAGCATTCCCTGCGCCTTGACCTCCAGCAACGATAATTCCTTTTTTTGCACCTTTCTTCCATCTCATCACACGATTATTGCGGTAGTCTGACACGTAGACAGTCTGTCGTCGATCAACAAAGATGTAGCCCGGAGCGTTGAGTTGATTGAGACCAGCACCTTCACCATTGCCACCAGCCACAAGAGTTCCATTCTTATCTCCTATTTGATATCGTCTTACTTCATGTTTCGTGTAGTCAGATATGTAGAGATATCTCTGATCATCCATGGCCAATCCATAACAATCGATGTTGTCGGTGAGGATTTTTCCTTGAGTTGTGCCACTACGACGAGACCATTGTACGACGCGTTGATTCCCTAGATCACAAATAATGAGACTATCATTCTCTTTGTCGTTCAATACATCGGTTGGTACAGTTAATTGATCCAATCGATTTCCTTCACCATGACCACCAGCTACCACTTGTCCATTCGTATCACCCATCTTCCATTGGTTGATACGATCATT